CGTGCACAATCTCAGAGGATCACCTACATTAACGGCCTTTCTTGCTGCCGCTCGAGCTACTCGCAAACACAGGGTAGGAATCCTTTCCGTATTATTCTTTGTTTCTCTCATTTTGTATTGGATTATTTTTTGAAAGAGCAAGTTTTAGGTGTTGAGTGTGGTACACTCGAGCGAATTCGATTCTACACCCGAGTTTGCATCACCTATACAATTGTGCGACGTTGGAGGTAAAATGTGCGAAGTCACGAAGGTAATCCATTTCATTTCCTAGAGCAGGTTGGCTCAGCCAAAAGGGAAACGTAATTCCGAGTTCACAAATATGTCAAACATGTATTTTATCGACTTTCGAATTTTGCCTTCTATAAGACCATCGAAGAAAAAAAAACTAAAAAGGGCGCCATTATTAAGGTCCCATATTCATTTTTTTGCAGTTTGTTGAAGTTAGCGCTTCAAAAGATGCCACACATTCATGCTATTGAGATAGATTTCGTCTCATTCTTAAGGTCATTCTTTTACTCTGGAGTGGAGTCCTTGATTTAGGTGGTTTTGCCCGGTGCAGCTGTATTCCCCGATGGTTCATGCCTAGTCCCAGCTGGTGGCTTATCGACTTGTCTTTCGGCTCAACGACATTCTGTCCCAGTATATGTACTCGCTGCATTTTATAAGGTTTGTTTGCCGCTTTTTAGTCACAGTTTTTATTTCAATTAGTCTCAAATGATGCTGTTGGAACGGGTTGTGATCTTTCTTGATCTGTTTCCCACTGACTAGCGTTATATTTCCGTCTTTTGAGTCGGTCTTTAACTTTTTTGCTCACGTAACAGCGCGTTCCTCTTCTCTCTGTTCTGTTGCGCGTACAGTTTACGTTCTCTTCTTTCTTGGCTCCATCATCTCTGCAAAATCCAGTGCGAGCTTTAAGATGCGTCTCGTCCCTGATTTTTCCTCAATTCTACTTTGTCCACCAATCTACTGTCTCTTTTTGCTCAAACATCTGAATTTTTAGGTTCTTTTTTCTTACAACAAGGCTACCCAGCCTCTTAGGGTATCCGGCTGCATAGCAGACTTTCAAGCTGTACAAACTCAAGTGCTTTGGTATTCCTAAGTCCCAAAGCTTACAATTTTCATAGTGTTGCTTCTGTAAAAGGTGGATTCTAAGAGTGCATCGTGCCACTCATTTACTCTACTATTAGAGCTCGTTTCTTGCAGTTTTTGTTGTATTTACAATCTTACGTCTTGGACGAAGAGAGCGCATTTTCTACACATCTAGCATGTATATGTTTAGATTACTCCATTCTTTGTACCGGATCCCATGATGGTGAATCCGAACAAGGCTCCTGGAGTTTCCGTTCAAGCATTCCGTCTCGTTTCGCGGTCTAGTGGAAGTTCCTCGACCAACATTCGACCATATCCCGGCTTCACTTGTTACGCTTTATGTTTCTAATACAGCATGTATATTACCGTCGCACGTCTACAGGTACGACCTTCGGATTATTTATGGGTTTTCTTTGATCAGTAACGTTCGTTTCAAACTGAAGAATTCACAAGTTCTTCCTTGAGTTTAGTATTGCCTGTTTAGACTGATTGGAGATTACTACCATCCTGAAGATGTATCCGAATGCTGATTCTGCCGCATATCACGGAACAGGGCTTGTTGGATTTCATTGTTGATTTTGCTATGATTACTGGTAAATGATTCTATTTATAGCCCATATGTGGAGCGTAAAACCTTCTTTCTTATTTTTGAAGTTTACATCAGATGTTGTTCTTTCTAGTGATTTTATCATTATGCGAAAGAAAACTTATTAATTATCGGATGGGCAACAGCATATAACTGAAACACTGTCTGTAGGGTTCTGAACATTATGAAAAAGAAAGCACTATCGACAAGTGGTTTCAATATCATTTTTGTGGTCTCAACGGTCCCATACCTTCGCGCGCGAGCTGCATCATCCGCACCTCTTGAAGAGTCCGCGTCCGCAATGCCTTTTCTCTAGGTAGACTTCTCCTTTTTCGACTACCGACCCTCCCATGGCGTCATCTTCTGAGTAAGAGAGTTCCATGCACACCATGCGCGCTTTTTGAGAAACTTGAAGCCACTTGCACAAGATTATAAGTTCAGGAACATAGGGTGTATACCGTAACCTTCTCGACGTTGCACTGGGGCGCGCATTCTCACGTGTCATCGATTTTCTCGTCTTCTCTGCACCCTCTCAACGAAGAGAGAATGCGTCGAGCAGGCCCGCGCAGAGTACTATGCGCCGTTTATGTAGAAGGTGGAGGACACAACGCGAGCGGTTGTCGCCACACGTCGGATGGGGCGGCACCCCGGGGATCACCTCCCTGTGCTCGCGCGCGAGCGCGCGCGGCGAGGCCAACGCTGCGACGGTGTTCGGCTTCGTCGCGCAAGCGGCGAGGCGAACGCTGCGACGTCGCTCCATTTTTGGGTTCGCTGCCCCGAACAGCAGGGGCGGCGTCGTTGACCGCTCTCACACTAGTGCTGGCATTGTGCACTGGAAAGCCTGCAACCGCGCTCTGACGCAAACGTGGGTTACGGTATACATCCTATGTTCCTTAACTTATAATCTTGTGACTGTGCACTGCGAATGCGAACATGCATCAACTTATGACTAAACATCAATGTTTTTATCCCGCTGGTCCTGCTACTTAATCTCGGCTATCTATTACCGCAGTTGCAGGAAAGAATGCGTAGATCGGATCGGGTCACGTTGAAAGATGCGGGGTGCTGCTATTTTGCCAGGGAAATCGAAGATCGGATTGAGCGGAGCGTCATGCAGTGTTGAGATGACGTCGTACGAAGCGGTTACGCGACTGATCACTCGGAAGTCCATACGAACAATGGGCAATGCCGCTCGATGTCAGCTTCCTCCGAAAGCTCTGAACTAGAATGAAGAGCTTCGACAGCGACGTGGTACGTGATACACTCACGACTACTAATCCCCGACGCTGGAGGGATGGAGCCACTACTATAACCCGGCTGGGAGGGATGGAGGGGACGTGCTGAACATGGTGGAGTTTATGTTTCATGGCTATAGCTGCTGATCTTACTGCTTATCATTAGTCACACGTGGATAGAACGAGTTCCTCAAGCTTTAAAGCCACGGGCCAGGATTAGGTGCCAAGAAGAAATCCCTTCTAGAGCGTGAATGAGAGGTCCCCAAGCACAGGAGGCACAGCTTCAAAATGCGAGGCAACGAGCTAAGGCCTCGTTATCAATCGCGGCATACGTGGCGTCTGCGCCCTCTCGCGTACAACGTGCTCTCTCGCGTTTTCCCTCTCCTCGCAGCGCTGTCTCTCTCCGTCATACCACGGCCGGCCTCACAAGGGAAATTTAGTGTTTTCTATGGTGCTTTTTGCTTTTTCTCCCACTAATGTTCCTCATTGCACTTCTTGTCTAATTTTCGAACAAATAAGACACCAATTCAATCCCGACCCGTGCCTTTAAGTCCTTCCGCTAGTTGCGATAGGGCCGTGTCGTAGTTCTTGTACGCTTTTGATATTACTGTCTATACAGCATTTAAATCTTCAACTCTTTATTCAGAATGCAGAACAGGTTATTCATCACACTTGAGCCTATTCGACTGTCATCGTAGAGTACTAAACAAACCAGATGTAAATTTATCACGATGATTTTTTCCGCATCCAAGAATGAGAACTGATAAGCAATATCAAATCAAAAAATCGTTTTTTCAACTAGACCCGATTGAACGAATGAGGAAGAAGATTCGCTCTTAACTATGTATTGAGGAGAAAATCACGAACAAACAAAAAAGATCTGAGAGAGAGAAGAGGGCGGCGGTTCGGGGAAGACGCGTCACAAACACAAATACAATCTCTGAAAGACAACTGAGAATAACTACACGCACTACATTTCTCGAAAGACTAGATATCTCATCCTCATACATGAAGAACAATAGAGAACGATCTAACTTAACATATACCCACGACGAGGAATACATACACGCGCTCAAAAAAAAGAAACGTAAAAAATGGCTATTGATTGCAAACACAAACTTTACAAAATCCAGATGAGCCTGGCGTAGCCTCATAAATACCCCTCTATTTCGGAAGACGAGAAGAGCGTCGAGTGCAGACCACACACCACAAGTGACGACGGCCAAGAAAAAAGCCACTTTTTCTCGGCCGTCGTCACTTGTGTGTGGTCTGCACTCGACGTTCTTCTCGTCTTCCGAAATAAACGGTATTCATAAGAATTTCAGTGGCAGCTCTGAGCTATTTAAACCTGTCTGGGGTCATACTCAGTGAACGGTTGCAGGTTTAGAAACGTGGAGCTAGTGGGCCAAGTAGAGGAGATATGGGGTTTTCTGGACCCTCCCTTCTCCACTCCATACCCACCGCTCAGGGTAGGTGCTTGCAGCCGTTTGTCCTTGATGCGGAGCTGGAAAAGGCAGCCCCCTGGGGTTATTTAAGTCTTATCGCACCGAGTTAGACCGTTCAACCCTTCCGAGCACTCACAGCCTTAGCTCACAGGGATGACATAGTATTCAAACGCGTGACCAGGGTCAAATGATGCCGCGCTACTTAACCCAACACAGCCACTTTGCAACATCACCATACTTCAGATCACCGCTAATAACACAATCGATAAAAAAAATTATGAAAAAATTACATAGAAAAATTCAAATATTTCTACCAATTATTACGAGGAAACAGACAGCATAATAAAGAAGACAAACATAGTAGTAAGCCAAATAAAATTAACTCAAAAACACTAAAAAAAGATTACTGAATTACCCGGAAATTGGTGGCGTACGCCGTCAAATTGATTAGAATATTCTGAGCTCTGAATTACTTTCAATCTTTAACATTATGTGAATTGTGTTTTGTAAGACCTCTATGGTCGTCTCGGA